TACTTCATAGCTTCAAGTAAAATCTATCTTCTTCATCAAGAGCCCTGATTTTTGGCATATATATGACAATTTTAGAGAAGATCATCTCAGCTGAAGCAAGTGCAAACCCTACCTGCATGTATCAGTGCTTTTTCTTTTTTTCTATTTTTTTCTTTTTTGTAAATCAGTGCAGTTAAAACTGCAATTCATCCAAGAAATTTCAGTGAAACATTTCTGCTCAATGTCAATACTGAATTTGTTCCACTTTGCAATTTATTAACAGGTCTCCTGGGTTACTATGCTTATAACCTAGAAAACAGTTCAATTTTAGTCTAATGTAAAAATTTGCAAACAAGCAAAAAAAAAAAAAAAAAAAAAAAAAACCCTGATATATTATTACCGCGAGAACAGTGAAAAATAAGGTTTAAGCCAGTGCTTAAACTTGATGTTTCTGGATAATGCTTTATAAACACAAATGAATTAAGGCTCAGTAGTCCCATGGGCTAAACACAAAATGGCACAAATTACTCTCTACTTAGAAATACAGAAACAGACACAAAGACATTAAGTGAATCACCAGGTACTTATGACCACAGGAAAAAAAAAGAAAAAAGAAAAACAAAAAAAAAATAAAAGAAAAAATGACAGCAGCACTTTAAGATTCGTCCTTCTTTTTCCTTTCTCTCTTCCTTCTGCTTCCTCAGTGATTTGCTACTGCTAATCAGCAGAGAGATTCCTGGCTTCAACGCAAAGTGCCACTGACACCATCGGCCAACCAGGATTTTCTGGTCAGGAGATCTCCCTATGCCTGGGTGGAAGGGAAAAAGCAGATTCCAGGAGGATGGAGGGATGCCAGCTGCAGGAGGAGGGAGGGATGCCAGCAGCTGGCGTTGGCGATGCCTGGCCAGAAGTGGAGGAGGAAGAAGAGGAGGAGGAGGATACCTGGCTGAGATGCCCTTCCCAGCGCGGGAAGCAGGGCCATGCAGCTGGGCACCACTGCAGCTGCATTCCCAGCCGCATGACAGGACACTAGAGCAGGAGTCGGGAGGCTGGAGAGTTGAAGAAGTCCAGAGGCTGCATTCCTTGTGTCCAGCGAGGGATGTGCTGGGATGTGTGGTCGGGCCTGCGCTACTGGTATCTGTCCAGCCGCCCTGCTGCCAGCCCCACACCACTTATCAGCACTAAGCACAGTTCCAAGGAAAAAGCACTTGAAAAGAAGCACTTCTTTACGCAGGATGCAAACCACACAAACGCAGGATGCAAACCACACAGCTAACATGCTATGGCTAGCAGCTAATTGACAGTGTTGCATGCCCTAACCTTATGGGTTAATCAAATCCCTTTCCAAGAAAAGGAGCAATCTCGGGGTGGAGAGGAGATCTCTGTGAGCGTCCCCAGTGAGCTCTGGCCAGCTGAACTATAGCAACGCTTTAGGAAAGGCAAAAAGAAATTGCTGTATACTTCAAGTTTCATATGACCTCAGTATTTCATCCAGAAAGGTCAAATCTAATCTGATCTTCAAATGCCTTTGAGTCAAATTTCAGCTTCAGCCAAATCCTTTACAAACCGTTTGTAAGTATGCAATAGCTACAGCTTCTTGCAAAGCACCAGCACTAAAGAGTATGTGACAGCAAATTAGATAGGTGACTTATTTCCAGTACAGTTATGCCTAAATATCTGTTTTCACCAGATGACTGGGAAAAGGAAAGGCTTTAAAGTATCCAGGAGGTATGAAGTAAACCAGCAAACCTGACTTTGCACATGAGCGTTAGTGAAGGACAGAGCTCTAGTAAGGAAGCAGCTTTCTTGTTACAAGCTGCCAGGGGGGAGTTACTAAGAGGAGACAGTTTTTGAAGAATGAAAATCTGCTTTGAAGATAGATTCCCACTCATTGCACTCACAGGCCTGTCTGCCCCAGGCTTTATATACCTGGAGCTGAATCCTGCAAACTCTCCCTATACAAAGCTATCCGCAAAGGCAAGGAAGAGTGCACAGGGTAGTACATTCTGCCCTGTTACCTTTTTTGGTGCTTTCTCTGACACCCAGGAGAGTCCAGACAAACACTGCAGATGGAGAGCTAATAGAGCTTGACCTTCTCTTTCTTATGCATATATGGTTTCCTGTCCCTCTTTGTTTGCATGCAGTCATCAAATGTACTAGGTGGGGCTCTTATTTAGAAGTTAACACAAATCCACTTTAATACATATTGCAACCCAGGCAACCAACAGCATAGGTTTTATGGAAGGAACTACTAATAAAGCAGGGTGCTTTAAACATCTTATTTGCCCTCTGGAAGGGAAGTCTTGCAGGCTTCACTTTTCTGCAATGGCAGATCCTCTTGGGAAGGAAGAACTCTGCAGGACAAGGGGCATCTTTAAGGCTTCATGAGAGCAGGGAGGTTTTGCATGTGACAGAGCACCAGTCCCATAAGAAGAGGTGAACCAGTGCCAGTGTTTGCCCAAGAAAAGGAGGTGACCGCTTGCTCCCAGCCATACAAGCCACTCAAAGCCAGCAGCTCCACAGCCACATCTCCAGAGCATCCGGAGATGCTCTGACATGCAGCAGTCGGAGCGAGTTCTGGTGTTTGCCCAGCAGCCTTCAGCTCCCAGCATCAACAAACATGCAGAAGCAGTGGCCAGTCAGCCCTGCTTGCCCAGGTGACTTAACTTGGTGCTCTCCAAACCCACCGCTGCGCTGCTGCACCAGGCTGAGCAACCCCAGCTGCACCACGGGAATGGGAAACTTGATGGGCTCCTGGGCAGGCTCTTGGCAGAGTCTCCCTCTGTCCATTCCTTCATAGGGGAATTTCAGGGGCAATTCAGCAATGCAGGGGTGCTCCCCGGCCCCATAGGGGTCTGAGTGGCAGCCGGCCAGCAAGCCTCTATGTCACATGTGGCCTGGCCCTGCAAGTGACACCTGGTGGAACTGGAACTGGAAACCCTCGGTCTTCATCCATTTTAATTCTCCCTCTAGTGCCAGCCAAAGGGACTTAGGGCTGCCCTCCTTTTCACTTTCAAATCAATTAGCTTTCAGTATCACTACTACACTGTTCATCACAGCTGGGCAAGAAATAAAATTACAAGGGAAGTTACCCCTTAGGCCACTCAGTGTCAAAATGCTTCTATGGGAGCATGACTTAACAGTTGCAGAAACTTTCTTATTCTCTTAATACGTGCTTGCATCGCCCATGGTCCAAGTGCATTCACACTATGCTAAAGTGCATTCAGGCTGCTTACATCAGATCCGTTATTCATTAATGATGGGATTGATTTCACCAAGGCTAATCCTGTGAATGAGGGCCGAGGAACTGATCCGGGCTCACTGCAGGCTGCAACCAATGGGAGTCTTCAGGAGACACAAATGGTGTCAAGCTCCCTTTCCTGCTCACAGGCAACCTGACCGGTGCTTCTCCCCCACCATCAGGATGGTCAGAATATGAGACACGTTATTAACATGCACAGGTTTGATTGACCTGTCTCATCAGAGCAGTTCACAAGGCCAGGCAGGCCTCTACCTTCCCTCCAATATACTGAGAATAGACTTGCCCCATTCTGCCTTTATGCCATGTTAATTAAGCAAGTGGACCAGTGGACTTCCCTGAAGGACCATGCCATTGTAATGCATGCCAAGATATAAGTCCATCTGGTTGTCTTTGGTGTATATAGCTGTAGGAATCCACACTGTCTCTCAATTGCAAGAGAAAATGGTAAGAAACTTGTTTACAGATGCATATGCTCACAGAGCAACCTACTGCTGTGTATCATGAGAGAGGAGGGGAAAAAAAAGGGATGCAGGATCTCAGACCTCCTTGACACCAAATCATACAAGCACAGACATTCACACTTTGGTATCTAAAGCAGACAAATTATAATAAAGACCTTTTTCACAAAAGAAACACTCTGCTTCTTTATTTTCTTTGAGCTGCTGCCAAGGAGGGAATGCATTATTTTAACAAGTTGTTCTCCTATATGCCTTTTAGCAATAGAAACCTTCTCTGAGGGGCAAAACTGCCAGAAAAGGACTGCACGCTGGCAATAAATATCCCACAAAAAAGTAATTTTACAGAGTTATCCTGCCTTCTCTTCCAAGCAATGAGTGAAATAAGACATACGAGAGTAATCACCCACATAGCTGCTGGTTGGGTCAGTGCGTGTTCGTTTCCTGAGTCTCTGCCTGCCTCTCTTGACACAGACATCGATCTACAGCAAACTCCATCCCTCCCTCCGTGCTCCCAGCTCCTTCCCGGTGAAATTTCCCGCTGCAAAGAATATCCCGCTACCGGCAACCAGCCTTGCACAATGCTTTCTAACTGCCGGAGCATGTCAAAGGATCTGGAAATAAAAGCTCGCTCCTTTCCGGAGCTGCAGCCTGGCTGACACACACACAGCCCAATACTTTTAAAGAGTTCCAGTCCCACCCAAGTTCATCTTCCACCCCTCTCTTAAGAGGAAAGACAACTTCACAAGAAACATGCTGGCAATAAATACGCTGCTGCGCAAGCCGAAGGCTGAAAACAAAAACGGATGCCGTCTATTGTCAACAAAACTTCTATGAAAGGCTGCCATGACGGGCATCTGCTGCAGCGAGTAGCGTTCACCAGAGCTTTGCTGTATCTGGATCAGTTGCACCAAGAGCCCAGGTCTCAGGTTGCAAAATAAAAATGCCATTCACCAGCCATCGCCACGTCAAAAAACTTTTGATTGTTTAAAAAAAAAAAAAAAAAAAAAAAGACATAGAGGTTATAGTTCTGCTGAAATAAAAGATTTTGGAAGCAGGACCTGGGCGGGCGCTGCCCCGTGCCCCGAGTTGCATCCCCCCCACCCTCGCTGCAGGAGCCTTGTGGTCCCCACCAAACATCTGCCCGGAGGGCGAGAGGAGATGGGGAGGGGGAAAAAGAGCATCCGACGTTCCCGGACGGTTCCCAGCGCTGCTGGATTGCGCACACTGCTCAACGCCCGTCCGCGGCGCCCACACGGGCCGCTTAGACCCCTGGCAGGCACGCGCGCATCCCGAGCCCTTACCTCCGCGGCGGCAGGGATCGCAGCTTTTATGGGAAGGAAAGGAGCAGCGGGCAGGAGCGCGGCAGCAGCCTCGCGCGCAGCCCTACTCAATAAAGCTGCAGCCTCGCCGTGGCCCCTCCCTAAAGTCAATGCTAAGTGAATACATATCCCTTATGTTTACCATTGGCAGGCAGCGGTATGCATTGTCCTCAATTTATTCTCATAGGCAGCCAATGAGTACGCGCAAGCCAAGGTGGGCTCAGCCTGCCTGCAGAGATGCCTGTCATTCCCTAGGCATGCTCAGGAAGCCACTCATCAGAAAACCAAGACCTAAAAAGCTCCGAAAATTCATGCAAGCTGCCAAAACTGTCTTGCTACATGCCCTTTTTTGGTTATCCTTAGCAGGGCCTCTGAAAGTAAATCCTCTGTCAGGAACAATCATAAGAAATGTTAATCTTGGAGAAAGAGGCTGTCTTGTTGAACACAAATGGAGCTTAAAAAAAAAGAAAAAGAAAAAAAAGGAAATACCCTGAATGGAAAGGGACACAGTAAACATATTTAGTTTTTGCACCAGTTTAAAAAAAAAATCAAATAATTTCACCACCGCTAAAGTTCATTGTGCCTTTTCTTAAACGAGCACCACATGTACAAGGGAACACAGAAATGCTCTGCTGTGCAAGCTTGATTCCGCAGAAAATAGACACCAGTAGGAAAGGCACATGAAAGATGAGTTGGCAGGCTTTACAGCCCATTTCCATTTCAAATAGCGCAACCAGAAGTTACATATAGAATATCCGTGTTCTGAGAAACAGCATTATAAGGGATTCAAAACTTTTACAAGGATCTGTTGCAAGCTGCAGGAGTCAGCCTAACAAGACAGCATCTAGGTGTACAGCTATGTATATATATATTAAAGCAGGTTCATTCACTATGAAGATAGCTATACATATTCTGCATCATCTGGGCAATGCTTTTCACAGACCATCATTAACACGGATAAAGTCAGCTTAGATTAATTTTTATCCCAATACACTTTTTTCTTTTTTGCTTATTTCTCACAGAATATCAAAACAAACCTGCAGATTGATCACACCGTGATATTGATAAATTCTGCAGGTAGTGGAAAACAATGAAAGAATAAATGCAGATGGATGCTGAAAAGAAAGGAGCTCCATAAACTATATAAGAAAGCACAGCAAGAAATAAAAAAAGGTATTCCTCAGGAAAACACTGCTGTTCATAGATCCTAACATGAACGTGCAGCAGCCAGGAGGCAAAGCTGAAAAAGAACTGCTGACTACCCAGTGAGGACAGGATTCCAGACCGGGAGATATTCTGCAGATTCTTATTTGACAATAATATAGACAAAGTCAGTTAGAGGGGAAATATGTTTTAGATGATTTTGCAGCTGAATGGGCTAAACTATTTTAATGCCTTTCTGAGCCTTTTTCTCTCTAGTTATCGGGCCCCATGGGTGTAGTCACATGCATAATGCAAAAAGGATTCAATACACAGTAAAATAATCTTTAGAACTTGACATAAATTAAACCAAAGGCCAAATTGTGCAGATTTACACTAAACAATAACGTTTTTTTCTACTGTCATTTTAAATTTCACTACTTGATTTGATGCAGGAAAAAATGGTGTTCACTTTTGGAATTACACTTTTTTTTTCTTTATTTTAACAATCCTTTGGAATCTTTTTTTTCCTAATATCAGAAATCTCTTGTGACGTTATTGTGATGACTTCACAATGTGATGACTTCGTTATTGTGATGAATCTAAAATATAGAGCATATATATAACTTTGCTAGTGAGATTTACTAGGCAAGGGAGAATAAAAAGCTTTATCCTCTCTTATTCCATTAACTACAGAAATTATCGATGCACCGGCTTGTGCACCAATAGCCAAATGAAGTAGGTGAACTTATTAGGAGGAAATGACAAATCCTTATTGATTCTACAATCTCCCAGATACTTAGAATGCAAAATATTAAAGAATACCATCAAAGGAATAAACAGCATTAAAAGATGCTTATGATCCAAGCAAGAAACTGAACACTGCAAGTAACCAAGGGCTCTCCTTCCAACATGGTCACCGAATTTTGGCAATCTCAGGGCCCCCTGCGTTGAGAACTGAGCAGTTATGTTTCACCTGAGGCTGAAATAAATTACCTTTTTTTCAAAGAGATTTAACACAAGCTGTGGTGCTCTGCTGGCAAAGCATTCCAACCTGTGTGTTCTAGGTCATTTTTCCAGGGGATTTTTGCAGAAAACATCAATTTCATTTTGATGAAATTGTGCCATGAAAAGTAAAGCTTGCATCCATCTAGATGTGCTAATTTGTGTTTACAGGAAACTTTAAGTTCCAAAACTTAAAAGTACAAAACCAGTGAAATGGCATTGATTCCATAGTTATTCTGACATTAAAAAAAAAAAACTATTAATAATGTTGAATTATATTTCAAGCAGATGCCTCATTGCACAGTGCGACTAGAACCAATCTATAAGAGGCTAAAGTAAATACATTGTTAGGCTATACCAATGTCTACAATAGTGGGAAATTAGGGAACTATCATGGCAGACTGTGCCTTGTCACTACGGTGGTTGTTCTTGCCCTTACCTCTGGCTTGGCTGACAGCCCTCGACAGTCATGATGTGAAGAGAGACCCTCTTCACAGTGCAGTGCACAACTGGAAACATACTGGCCTGAATCACATATCTTCTGATTGCAAGATGTAAGGCAGAAAAAAACAAATCTCATGCAAAAATGAAATCCCAGAACCAAGCACAATTTAATACTGATACCTTATCACACACAGTGAGGGCCCTGCGAGGGCTCAGGGCTAAGCTTTTCTGCTTGGTAAGGCAAGATAAGGCGGGGACTGCCCAGAATAAGAGCCGAAGTGACTGTATGTGCGGGGCTGTTGCAGCAGCCTCGGAGGCCTCTGCATGCAGATACTCCTCAGCAGAATCATTAGAAATACCTGGAAATCTCTGTCGAGACTGCGGCTCTCTAAGGTTTATCAATTTTTCCTACACAATTTACAATCTAAAGCTGAGGTAAGTCTGTGGTCTAGGAAGTACACTATAAATCATCCCTTGGGAGACAGGTCTGGTTGCTGCACACAGCCACTCTACAAAATCTGCATTTTGGCATTGTGGAGCCTTCAGGACTCTGCAGGCAGCAGTGGCCAAAGGGGATGATTGGATTATTGCTGTTCCAGCCATCTTAGCTCCTTCTCCCCAAAGCCAGCTGCAAGGCAGAACAGTGCTCCCTGTCTGAGAGGAAGATCTAAAGTATTTGGAGAAAACTTTTTTTTTTTTTTTTTTTTAATATATATTATTGAGCTTCCTGTTTTCTTTTTTTTTTTTCCTTTATTCAACTTGGCAGATATGGCCGTTACTGAGTAGTGCTGAGTCACAGACCACCTCTGCCACTACAGCATCTTCAGCATTTAAGATTCCCAAAGCAGAGGGGAAATACCTTCCCCACATCTGCACGTTCCCGCCATCTGACAGACCCACTGGGCACCAAATGTCACGGGGAAAGACAACATTTGTCTGGTCTGTATTCCAAACCTCAGGCCATTACTTTACATCTCCAAAATCCATCTTTTTAGTAGCAGCTAAAGAGGAGTCAAATAGTTCTACTGCCCATTTCTGTCTTTAGAGGGGAGCTTCCACAGCTGGAAGAACTGCCCTTGCTTATTTTGTGAGACTAAAGCTCTGCTTAGGAGAGACATAGTCCTGAGGTCTGTGCTGGAAATGCCCAACCATGTTCCCTAACGCAGAGGCAGAAACAAAGTGGGATGTTTCCACCAGCACCATGTGAATGAAGATGTGTCTGTCACTCATGGGCAAGAAAGACGTCTTTATTTCCCATCCTGACACCACTAACAAAGGTGTGACACATTGGCATGCCGACGTGGGTCACGGTTATAAACTGTTATAATCCCATTACACGGTTAGGGTCAGTATCCATTGAATCCAGCAGCAATGACGATGGCAAAACACGGCTTTGGCTCCAACAAACACCCTCAGATGTGACAGGGCAGCACTTTCATCTCCCTGCTTGGTGCCCCTTTGCATCCCTCCTGCTGCAGCTACGCACTGCAAAGGCTGAAAGGAGCACAGTTTTCTGCTCTCTGAGCAGGACTGGGGAGGGAAGGGAGCTTTTCTGCCTTTAAGAGCAAAACCTATCCCCAGAAAGGTACATGGCTGCACTTGGCAGGGGCAGGACTGCTGGTGAGCTAAGGAAGACACTAAAAGGCTGCATCTTGGGAAGGGCAGTAGGTCCCTCTTTCTTGGCAACATTAAACCAGGCTCACCTGCTCCTCACCCTATATTAGAACATCCATCATGGGGGTGAGTCCACGCACCCCCTGAAATACAGGAGGGACCTGAGCCATCCATCACGTCCAGCTGTCCACAAGTATAAAGTGCTCATTAAAACAGGAGATAATGGTCAAGGTGGTTCAGTGCAGGGCAACTCTTGTGAGGTTATGAGATGTCCAGTCTAAAAAACTTTGCAGCGCAGGTTCCCCCTGATCCTGGCAGACATACTCTAAATAAAGCTATGGCTATGCTGTTTCCACAGCTCATCTGAGATCAGCCTCACTTTATATACAGAGGATAGAGCGCAGATGGTGGTATGCACAGCTGCATGCATCTGACATGAAGGTGAGTAAGCAGAGATTTGCGAGTGAGCCACCCAGCTGGCAGGTCCGTCTGGGGAAATGCACGAGGGAGAAGCCCACACACCGTGAGCAGATTTGGTCATCCCCACGATTACCTCCTGGGCATAGACAAGCTGTTTCTGACAGACAGGCAGAGGTAAGATTTTAGGAAAATTTTACACTAGCTGTTTCAGGCAGCATCTTTTGGCCTTGAACAGCACTATCCATAGGGCTTCAAAGTCACAAGTCCATTCAAAGAGGGTGTAAAAGATACCACAAGAGAGAGCTGTCTGGGAAATACAAGCACCTCTTCAAGCTTAGGCATGCATACAGAACGTAAATCAGCCAGAAATAAGAAGCCAATGCTATTTAGACACAGTAACAAGAACTAG